CCCTCAGCCCCCATCCCCTCCCTGACCCATGTTGGTGTGAAGTGTGCATGTACATGTGTGAGAGAGTTGTGTGTTTATGTCTACTATGCATTAAAATTAGTGGGTGCAGTTCGGGTATGTTCTATTTGCTTAGGCTGCTGCGACTGCCCCCCCCCCCTTTACAAGTCTAGAGCTACATGATATATGTACTAGAAATTTATGCCCTGTAACATGACCAGAACACACACAGCATATGTGTGAGTAATAGCCAGGGTTTGTCTTCAGTCTCTGACAATATAGCAGCTATTAATTTATTAATCAATGAATGCATTTGGTCCCACAATAGCTATTTACAGAGGGGTAGGGATAACATACAATGCTCTCAAACATGGTGCAGTCGTCCTTGTCCGCATTGGAGCAGTACATAGGCCGGTGTCCCATGGTGATAATCCAAGGCCGCGTCTGCCTCTTTGATGGGTTACTGGCCTCCTGGGAGTTTGTGAAAAACAATGCATTTCATGTACACAGCACAGTATGGTGACTGACCATCAGTGCACAAGCCGTCAGGGCTTTGGAGAAAATATTTTACTTTCCAATATGGCCAATATAATCAACAACACTAAATCTCATTATTGGCAAAATGAAAGACAAGTATGCAGAAGGTTTGGGTAAATGTTTATGTTTCACATTTCCCGAAGAAATAACTGTATACAAGCACTTTAAGGAGAAAGCTATTTTGCTGAAAAATGAGGCGTAGATCCAGTAAAAATCTAAATATAAATGAAATATGTACCTCCAAGTCTTTTTTAAGCCATTCATACTGCTTGGAAATTAAATCCTTGCCAAACTCCGGGTAGAAGTAGACTTCCGTGGAAAATGAGATTATATGAGCAGGCCCAATGTCCCAGCTGCATGAGATGTAAACAAAACAGCTATCCATAAGTATCAGCCAATCATGCATCATCATAAGACTTACAGACATGCCCATAAGAGTTACACATAACTGCATGTGTACGCTGTGTCTATAACAGGGATGTGCATCTCCATTACTGAGGCCAATGCGACACACACTTCGATGCACTGACAACGATCGGAGACATAAGCGATACATATGAAACCACTATAAATGCGATACGGTGTGATTCACTCCTATTGCGATGTATCTCCAGATACTGACAGGCCTCCAATTCACACGAGATGAGCAGAGAGACTTGCAGAGAAGTGGCCACTGACAGCAGTGGAGACCTGGCGATGAGGTCAACTTTCTAAATAATAAAGGCATATGGCCTCTACTAATAATTATTTGTTAATAAATCGAATTTTACAGATGCAAAGATGTTAGGAACGATGCATCCCGAGTTCATCCCAAATTGTATCTAGTGCACATTTTTTTTTGATTGGAAGAATCGCATCGTGAACATTTATGCAGCTGCACCCATGCAAATCGGTGAATCTTATTAACCCTAGTCTATAATAATCCATTCTTATAGTAAAGCGCATTGTAGGACACCACTCAAGACATGAAAGTCATCTGCAAAGAGCACATGCAATATGTTTTGGGGAGATAGCAAGAACAACACACCTCAACTGGCCTTAGTGCTGACATGAAACGGAGAGCCCAGACGGTATCACGGGCCGTAAATTCAGGCTTCAAAAAAGAAGATGGTTTATGGCCAGAATCCGGAACTTCACTTCCATTGTGAACATATCCGGCGAGGGGTACAGATATGCCCACGGGGAGCTGTAAAAATAGCCCCACAGCTGGCGGGCAAATTGGTCACTGACGTGGGGTGGCATTGATACACGTTTCTACAAATTATTCGATCAGAGAACTTGCCAGATGGAGCAGTGAGACATTGATGGTGGCAAGGGAGTGCTGGTGGTAAGTTTCCTATGGGCCGCAGAGGACAGAATGTATTAGATAGATGTTATTTGTTTAGAGAATAGGCACTCAGCGTGCCCCAAGTCACCAGAGTGGGAGCAGAATGGCATCCTGTGCCAGAGTCCATGGCACGCCGCCCTCTTTGCCCAAGCCACGTCTGACAGATGTATGTCCAGCACTTAGAGTGCCTGTGATGGATGAGGCCCGGGTCTCAGGGGACCCGGGGCCCGCGAGAGCCGCTTCTGTGCTTGTGGTCAGCCTTGCATAGCTGCACTCTCTTCTGGGGTATCGCCTTTCGGCTCTGAAGAATGGCCCAAGTATTCCATGCCCTCCGGCTCTGGGATCGCTGCTGCCTGTGCCGCTGGTTCCCTCAGAACCAAGCATATGTCTTAAGAAATGCTGGCAGAGGAATAGCGCTTGACTGTTCTCTCCCTGTGCTTTCATTTCCTATTTTTTACCCCTTTGCTCCCTATTTTAACTGTGATATGACAGATTTGCTTGCTGGGGTGAGGCGTACAGTGAACTAAAGTCTACAAAACTTTTACAGTTTTTCCATTCTTGTAGTGAGTGCATTTAGCTGCATGTAACCATGGAGACTGAAATTCAGTTCTGTTTTGAAAGCTCTTATAGGGCAAAACTGCAAAGAGATCTAGGGAATATTTTTATTTCCTTTTAAAATCTTTTTATGCCACTGTAGAGAGTGTGTGTCCTTCTAGTCACCTTGCAACTCATGCTGTGAATTCTCGGTCACAGAGATGGGCGTCTTTAACGGTTAGGCCTACCTGTACCAGAGACCCTCCGTGTCCCCTGGCATGCTAAAACGGTTCTTGTAGTTGGAGAAGTTGCTAGAAATAAAGAAAACAGGGCAAGAGTTGTCAGGTAGATGTATAGGTTGTTGAACTCACATTCCTCAAATTTCTTAGGTGATTAGCTGCAGAAACCATTGACTTCTGCCTTTTTGTTGCTGTTCCCCAGTGCAGCCAGTAAGTATCTTGTTGCATAATCCCTTGATCGAAAAGAAACGCTGTGGGGTCAGGTTTCCCCGGCATGCCAAACACAGCTGAGTCCAGTTAACAATTTTGACAGGGTTCAGTCAAAGGCATCTCTGCCCTGTGCTCCTCTCCCAGCTGTGGAATGAGCCCTGCCTGGCCTTCACCTTCAGAAACAGACCAGCTGAATGTGTGTCCCTCCATGCTGAGGACTTTACATAAGGGAACCCACATGATCATGCCTGTCAAATCAACTTTTATAGCAGTGATGCTTCTGTGCACCTCAGCGGTCACATGACACACACGAACATGGTCATGTTGCTGGATGCAGTGCAGACAGAGAGATGCAGCATAGAGGACCAGCAAATGTCTGCAGAGTACAGCTGCTCCTTGTAAGAACAGATGAACTCTGAACACATTCATTGACATTGGCCCGGACAGGGCATGAGGTTTCTTGATCACAGCAGGTGTTGCTTTTCCATTAGTTTTCATTGAGTTTCTCACTGGCCAGTTCCAAGAATCACAGAATGTGAAGATGCCCGCTACCCGGTGGCTCTTAGTGCAAGAGGCCTTTTCTTCTTAACCTTTCACAGCGTGGCAATATTTTCACTGGCAGAATCTGTGCCACTATATCAAATGTGCAAAGGGAAAAATCTTCCTGAGGGGAGCAGTTGGTAACAGAGAGGACTTTCCTTAATGCCTGGCTAGGCCGTAATTTCACCATAAACAGTTGGGCCAAAATCCCTGTGAAGAAGACGGTGCTGTGGGGAACTGCTGGGTGTTCTTATGTAAGAGCGACAGCTCACTATGGGAGGCCAGACTGAATTCGGGGAGTAGGGGTAGGGTGACGGGGTTAATGTCAAGTTACGGGAACCAGAGGAGGTTAAGGTCAGGGATTAAATGGACAGGGAAGGGTGTTTTAGTATTGTGGATGCTTAGGAAAGGATCAGATTTAGGGGTACTGTCATTGTAAGGGCTAAGATTATTCTGCCTACAGTGTTCCTTGCCAACTCCAGGCACAAACAAAATACTTTATACAAGTAACTGAAGTCACATAATTCTGCTTAAACCTAGAAGGTATTTTTGCAGTTTGCACCACATAAATACCGAATGATGTCACATAACGAGCAATAACTGAACAAGAAATACATGCAGCAGCAAATACATACTAATCGTATGGATGAAAAGGGCTTTAGACTCTTCAATCTCCTTTAGTGGCAGACTAAAGCCACAGGTTAACACTGCCACCTAGTGACAAAGCCACAGGTTAACACTGCCACCTAGTGACAAAGCCACAGGTTAACACTGCTACCTAGTGACAAAGCCACAGGTTAACACTGCCACCTAGTGACAAAGCCACAGGTTAACACTGCTACCTACTGTAGTGACTCAGGCTTTAGTTGGAGGCTTTAGGCTTTAGTTAGAAGACAGTGATTCTGGCACGACGTACAAACTCTGGACATTAGGAAATGTCTGTTTTCTGTGAACATCCTAGATTCCCATAAAATAATCATAAAATGGCCAAAGGCACTATCATGACATTGCATTCTATTAGTCTATTACATGTGGATAGTTAAAATTAGAATTTAAAATAATTTCAAGCTATAATTAAAAATAATAATTAATTCTTTGAAATTTACAACAACATCAATATAATCTGGCGTATAAATTGATACTGTTTGTGTATGAAAATACTAAGAGTGACCTTTCTCCTCAGAATGCAGTGAACCTGCAGGGAACCTTTCTCAGTCTGTTCCTCGGGGACCCCAGACAGGCTGCGGGGATCCCTGAGAACCAGTTTGAGAACCACGGCTTTAAAGGTACCTTACAGGAGACCGTTTCCTGAACTCTGCTGCTGTCCTGCATAACCTTTAAATGCAGTGGAAAGTATGATGCTTCTTTCTGTTTAGTTGTTATTATTTCTGGTTTTCTTCAAACTGCAATCTGGGAGCCACTTTCCACACAGAGTTCTTGGACACGCCTGGTCTTCCATGGAAATTCAAGTAGATAAAAGGGTGTAAGAAAAGTATTTCTAAAAAATGATTGCAGGCAGGCTCATTATCCTTTCAGTGGAACTGCTTTATAAAACGAAATTCCAAGAGTAAATCATAGTTAAAAAGAAAAGCGAAGCGTTTGATCTTGTTGATGTTTAAGATGACCAGGCCCATGCACATGTTTGGTTAAACAGACAGAAGTAGTCTTTTATGTTTGGACTGTCATACTGACGGTGTGACTGTATTGGCCACCTCCTCCTCAACGTGACAACTTGATGCATGTGACACACTGAGTACACAGAGACCACCGGTAGGGTGACACTATGTGGGGGGAGGGGGACACTGTGAGCAACTTCAGGTTTTAGAAACTACTGTAAAACTGAAAAGCTCCTTGGTTAATTACGGTAGTTCAATCATTCCGGTGCTTTTACTGGTTTGTTTCCTTGATTGAAAAACTCATCCAGCTGTTTCACATTAACTGCATGATTGTAGGAGACTGACCAATCCGCACTTAGCAGGAACTCAAAGTGAAAAGCTAAAGTGAAATCCAAGCCTTTTTAATTGAAATCGTTGTTTACAAACCCTGTCCTAGCTCATAGTGTGTGTGTGTACTCCCCGCCCCCCACCCCCCCATGGATTAGGTGGTCACTCTAGCCACCAGTGGAATCTGAGTTCTTCTGTTTCAGTATCACAAATGAGTAACCGATCTTCTGCCACCATCAAATGCAGTGGTTTTGTGGGCCAGATGAAATGAGAGCCATTAAAATAAATAACAAAAATACATTAAAAGCACTTTCTTGCAGAAAGAGTTATGCAATGTACACACAATCACCGATACTAAACCCTCCAGTTGGGGGACAAGCCAGAAGCAACAAACTACTGTTTGCCATCCCCATATAAACAGATAATAGTGAGAGAACAGGAGACAGTAAACTTGAGAGGAGGGTTAGGGGCTGGAATTGGCTGATCAGGGGATGTAGACATAACACTGAATGACTATTACTGTCACTGTTTTTGATATACGAGCCCCTCATTTCCCCAGAGAAGCCTGGGCATTAGAATTAGTCTGCAGCTGATCCCTGGGACACCGAATACCACCAATAACATCCAGCTTCTTTAGACATATTGTTTTCATTTGGTTGATGGCTTTTTAAGGGGATCCTTACTGCTGTTTTCTGTATTTCTAAATGTTCTAGAGGGTGTGGAGCACCGAGTTCCTCTAGGTTAGGGGAAAATATCCTGCTATGCATTGCCCAGTGGCTGGGTCACCATCTGAGAAACGACTGTGTAGCAAAGCCAGGGTATGAAGCTGCTATGAAAGGGCTTTGTGCATGTCAGGGCACCAAAACCTCCTTGCCCATAAACTTCAGGCCGGGGCAGGTCAAATTAACCCCCCCCCCCCACGGACTGGCACGCCAGCAGAGCTTTCCCTGACTCTCCACCCCCACTGCAGACGCAGGTCTAGGGCCCACCTCCCCGCGGATGACGAGTGCACCCACATCAGGAATATGCCTCTGGCGAGGGAGAGTGCGATGGCCATAAAAAAATAATAAAAAAAAAAAACAACAACACATTTTTCTGGGGAACCCAGGAGCAAAGCAGGCTTTGACAGGCCCTTACCGTGAGCGAATAAACAAAGGGATGGACAGATAGAAGGCGTGAAAAAGACAAGGCCGCAAAATGACTGGATGGGCCTGCTGTCAATATACACCTGCTTCTGTTCACCTCAGCCGAGAAGTGTTACATTATCCTATCAGGGATATTTTACATTATTCTATTACACTGTCATGACGATACGAATGTCACTCCGAAAGGGACTGTCAGTCAGAGCATTCTGAACACTTCTGCTGGCACGCCATTCTCAAACGAGTCCTAAAATTGACCCTTGACACACAGCACATGCATCTGCTGCAGATTCAGCTCGGTTTAGCATATTACACGCAATGTGGGCAGCTTGACACTGACAAAATGTAAAACGACAGACTAAATTCCAGTATATACGTTCCTGTTACAGTACGACAGATGCCTTCATCCAGTGTGACTCTACATTAAGAGTTAATGGCAGACTGCATAAAATCCATTCTTCAAGGCAGTTCTTTAAATGGAACAAACACAGGGGACCTTTGTGGTTTTGTCTTGCTGGGTGCCTCATACCACTCACACGATCTCTCTACAGTCTGGTTTTAATAGACGGAACACACCTTTGGTGTTCACAAACACAAACCGAGATCATCTGGGACACATGACACTTTCCGTAGACACGCAAACCCACCACACCAAACCAGTAGCTGGAAGGTCAGCTCACTAATGTAAACACCACAGTAAAAACATACTTTTAAGTGGCAGATGGGGCATTTTTTCCTCGCCGTATTTATTTATGTCCATTGGGAGCAAAATGCCCCCAGCTTTTACAAGGAGACATTGTGGAACCTAAAGCCAGAAGTTGGCCTCACTCCCACCCCCCCCAAAACCAAGGATTATTCTGTAAAGCAGTTCCTTGTTTTGCGGCTTGTTCCTCTTGACGTACCTGGTGTCCTGTTTTAACAGCACACAACAGTCTCCTGGAATCTTTCATTCCCAGGAAGAACAGCCGCCTCACATTACGTTTCCCAGTATCGAACCCCACCACTCGCGATGTTTCACTGATGGATGAAATATATCTCCTTTGCGGCAAAAATGTTTTAAAATATAGTGCACGCTACCTGTACAAAAGGCTGGAATGAAGCATGTTTACAGAAGGAGGCGATAAAACCCTATTTTACGGGCAGCAAAGCTGTTACCATATGCACCTACTGTTTATGCACCATATAAACCACCATCCAGAGTTTGCCTTAGTGCGTCCTGTTGACTTTGGGAGCCTGGAAACCGTATGAGTGAAAGCAGTCTGAACCGGCAGAGCCGGCGGCTGGGGACTCCTGGCCGCAGTTCAGAGAGCAGCAGGGTTGAAATCCCAGACTGAACAACACTCGTGGGCTTTCCAGAGCCATCTCTCTCTTTTTTTTCTGCTTTCCCCTGAGGTAAAGGCAGCAGTGTGAATAGAATCTGGCCTGTAAATTCAGCACATAAACAGGAAACTTCTTTTGTGTCGAAGAGAACAGTGGGGGGGGGGGGGGGAGTGCTGAGTCATCAGCAGCAATAGCGCTGGCTCTCATGCGAACCCGGGCACTTCCAAAAGCACCTGGGAGGGTCTATCTGCTCTCACTCCCTGGCCAGGCTGCCCATGCAGCACAGTTACCAGGGCCTGTTGCTGAATCGGAGCTGACCTCAACGTACATCACCGTCACTGCAGCCTCGGCCGGCTGGCCCGCCTGGGTTCGGGCCCCACAGATGACAGCAGGGCCGAGTTTCACGCATAACCTTGCCGGAAGGCAGGGGAAGCGTCACGGCAGGCGTTCGTTATTCACCATTGGCCTGGAGGGAAGGCGGATACGGGCACGTGCCCGGGCAAAGCCAGCAGTGGTTCCACAAACTGCTGCCGCCCATGCCATGCCAGAGGCCAAGACATTAACCATGTATGCAGAAAGGACCGAGTAGAAGAATACAGCAGATCAGATGCAGCGAGCGGACAAATGTGGGAGAACAATAAAGTTCATACATGTTCAAAAAGATAATGGAGAAGGGAGGTTATTGCTTACTGAGATGTTCATGTTCGTTTCCATGTTCATGATCATTCCGTTGGCTCACATGTTCACGATTATTCCAGAAAATCTGTGATCAGTAAATCTCTGTCTAAAGAATGTGCTGGCACAGGACAAGATACAGTATCTCTAAATAAGGGTGTTAAACAAGCTATTCATTCTGTGGTGGGATGAACAGGCAGCTTCCAAACCCAACATCTGTCCTGTTGGCCAGTGAGGGAAAAATAAACATGAGATCGTGATGTGAGAGCAGGGAAAAGAAAACTGAAACTATGGAACATGAACTGTGCCCATTTCCCTCTGGCGGTATCGATTAAAAAGCGTTCAAGGACGTCACTGACCGAGGTAATGTTAGGCAACCGCTATCAGTGCTGGACTACTGAAAGGCAATTAACTATGTTTTCATTCCGTGCTTCTCCGTACACGTTGGTTACATTTCATGAAATATAACCATTTGATGAATATGCATCATTATACCACACATCCGAAGGACAGGCGTGATACTGAGTGCTTTCCCAGAAGCCGGGAGATGGGGGGAAAAAAAATGAAGTGCGTTATTCTATCTCAGTTACATAACAGCCCAGAAGGGACCGCGTGCATTTTTTAGTCTTTGTGTTTTGGCTACAAATCATCACTGTGCCCTTGTCGAGTTTTCACAGCAGGCCCTTTGTGCCTGGCCATTTTTCAGGGAAAATGGGCGTCTCGCAGTACTGAAGCTCATGACGTTCGCCCCATGCTTGTACACAAGGGCGCGGCACGTCAGGTATTAAGCTGTTTAAGGAGACATTACCTAGTGTGTAAATACACCTCACTGCAGCGGTTGCAGCCTTTTAATGTACAGGCAGGAGAAAGGAGACACTCACTATCTGTATTCATGGTTCCCCGGGCAGGTCATGTATGGCACATAGGCAGCAATGGATTCCACCTGCCTCATGAACTCGTCCCCGATCCGGGCATTGTCCTAAAGGCAGACAGAATTAGACAAAACTTCGCATAAGGTTCACAGACCATTCGTTCTGGTTACGCCATGGCAGGGTGAAATGCTTAATCAGTTAACACTGGCGTTTTAGGCAAAATGGAATTCATTTCTTTTTTTACTAAATAAGGCGATTATTCACCTTTTGTAAAAATGTCAAACTTAAAGCATTAAATAGTCTGAGTACATTCTCTTCGGTGAATCTATAGTTAATTATCCACACGCAGTGTTCAGTTCGGGTGGTGAAGTTTTATAAGGTGCAAAAAAACTTCCCTGGGATTTTCCTTCTGGACCAAAATACATTTAATGTCTAGGGCTAGAATATAAAAATCCGCAAAAGTATGGAGAAAATCACTTTGGTACTTCGGTAATCAGGAATTCAAATAAACAACATCTGGGACAAATTTGTGGTGTTAAAATATCAACCACTTCATTCAGGATAAAATAAAAAAATAATAATTATTTAAAATATATAATAAAACCTTATTCCTGCTTATGCATTCTTATATGATGGAAATGCAGAAAAATACAGATTTATATGAATACTCAGCTGTGCTTAATACCCTCCTTTTAAAGGCCTAACAAACTATAAGCAATAAATGTAATTTGTCTAACCAGCGTTATTAACCAATTCAAGCTTATTGTTTCCGTTCAGCTGCAATTATTACATTATTAGTATTATACGGTGCTCACAGAAAGTCTTGGGACGCTTGCTTAATTCAATAAAAATGCTGCACATTTATTGGGTTTTATCACAAAAACCAAATATTTGTGTTTAGTATCCCTTTGGGAGCTAATTGCAATTAACAAAATGGCAAGAGCAGAACTGAATGAGTCAGTCAAACAAAAAAATGACACTTAAAATGTTTGTGTGAAAGATATCTGCATGAATCTTAAACATTGCTTGTCATTGGATTTTTATGAAATCAATAAATTTGCAACATGCATTGTAGGGCTCAGCAATTGCCTCTTCTGTATTAAAAATGCTAATCAGTTTCATAAAGGGGAGATGGGCTGAGACTAAGACTGGATTGGTTTATAAGGTCACGTCATGGCCTTCTCTTGGGTGAACTGGCTGGAAACATAACAGCGCTGTTTCCTAAGCAATAACACACACTTTAAGGTTGGGCTCCTAACTTGATACATATTTCCAAAAATACTGCTAAAAAAAGAAGCTGATTTTGTAAATTCTTCTGGGTTCTGGACTGACAAAATAACAACAACTGAACCCTAGCATTACTCCATCAGTGTTTCCATAACACAAGAATACCCAGAGACATGGAAACAAATAGTGGAATTCTTTTCGGGATTCATTTTTTAATTAAAAAAAAAACCATTGCCTGTAATCAGAGTACATACATTTTCCAGACAGCTTGAAATATGAATCTACATCACAGCTAATGTTAATGGAATCGGAGCTATTTATCTGGCTGTCATTTTAATGCTGGTCACTGAGATCAACTGGCTCATCCTACCCTCATCCTTTTAAATATAGTACAAAAGGGTTCTGTTGGTTTCTATTTATAAGACCCAGGAAGTCAAGGAATGTAATCAGCCGCTGAAAAGCACTGGCGTAACTGGGTGTGATGAACAGAGTCTGATCATTGAGTCCTGCATATTTTAGTTTCCTTTTGGTCCTTGGAGAACAGAATACAGGAACAAAAATGTTCAGACATTTAATTTGCCCAAATTGTGTCAAATTGATGTGCACAAGAAGAGAGAGTTACCCCATTTGTGCAGTGTTTAAACACCCAGCTGCACCCACACAGCCCACTGGGGAATCACCTGGGATTTTTTTCAGTCCCGCACTGAAAAATCTTTCATTGTCTGTCACCCTTTCAAGTAATGTACTTGGTTTCATGTTGCTAGGTATATACTGATTATGCTTTTCCAGGAACGAGGGTGAACTTTGTCCTGTTTTTAAAGCATTGAGTTTTTTTAATTGTATGAGGATGGAATCCTTGGGATGCCACAGGCTGGCTGACAGCTGCTCTTAACAGGTCGTCCAATGAGCTTCACAGCCAAAGTCAGTCAGTTCCTGCACAGAGTGACAGCTTTCACCGGGAGCCGCTTATAGACGTTCCATGTGGAATACCTAAGGTCATCTCACTAGAGCCTCTAATGGACGGTGTGAGGTTACTGTGGATCAAAATGGACCTTAGAGCGTACAGTATATGTACACCATGTATTAACCCTGGGACACGGAGTAGGTCACTATGACAACAGCAAAGTGCAGCATCTGTCCTGAGACTCGACTCAGGCCTGACTGAATTCATTTTAAGCCTTTGGATAAGGCGTGATAATATGTCAAGTCATATTGGTGTGTGTTCCCCACCCTTTGCCAGTTTCGCTAAACAATGGTGAAAACATAAAGCCCAACCTGCGGGCTGTACTAGACTACTTATGTAACTTATGATATAGGTACATTACCTCATCCATGTCATATGCAAAGTCCCCTAAAAGGCAAAAAAGCCCAACATTATTTTTTCATATCTTTGTGTATTATCATGTATATCTTGCTTAGTCAGCATTACAGGTAAAAGAAAGAGAAGCCACTAAATAACATTATTTATGTAGTTTGTTCTTGGTTTATATAACTAATACCCATGTGTCCACAGTTTTTTTAACATTATTTCCGTAATAGAGAAGAAATGGAAACTAAATGTGAATAACAGAGATGCTGGACACCTAATTTCCTGGCAGTTTGGGTATGTTCCGCTCACTCATGCTTCGCACTCATTTGCCGCAGTGATCCCTCACCGATGTGCAGGATGACATCGTACATCCCGACCTGGGTCTCCTTCTGCAGCCGGGCCAGTGACTGTGGGTTCTCGTTGCCCATGTCACCAAAGAGGGCGAACCTGGGGCTCCATTCCAGGCTTTCATTCAGGGCGGTGAAGTAAAAAATGTCGCTCCAGCCAGCCTCGCTGCCACAGTGGTAGACTGCAGGGCAGACAGAGAGAACAGCAAGCATCATGCAAAGCAGCTGGGGGCGGAGACTCGTCCTAAACACCTCATGGTGGCAGAACGACCAAAAAACACTGACGCACAATACATGCCAGCAGACAATTCTTGCAGTTGAGATGCTAACACGTTAACTAATCGACTAAACTGTGACGTGACCGCCAGGGGGCGCCAGTGGGCCTCATCCCAAAGAATGTGTGAACCAAGTCCGTGAGGGGATATCCAATATCCCTGTCTTCTGTCCCCACACATCCGCATCCGTCTGCGCCGTCAAAGGGGCATTCAGTGGCGGCGATGATCAGACTGACAGAGGCAGAGAGCCAGGCTGCAGCTGCCCCCATTCTCTCCTTCCAAAAGCCCTCGTCTCCTCAGCCGACTCAAAGAAAAGCAAACCAAAGCTTTGGAGCGATCCGGGTTTTTCTAAGACGGGGCAATATACGAAAATGAGTCATGCCATAAATCACAGAGTGGAAGGAGCTGGGCGCTAACAGACTGGAATCAACCACAGCCAAGGGGTCAGAGATGGAAAGGACGTGTGCGTGTGAGCCCCGCTCATGGGATTCAGCATTCATTGGCCTTGGAAACCTCAGCTGGTCCACCATCCCCCATGTCCATCATATAAATACATGTATTCCCAATGAAGGTACCTGCTCCACTCCATCTTAGAGCTCTGGCAGTAAGAGCTCCCATTGCCTGTGGCTGCATGCACTCACCATAAGCAGAGCCAGGCTTCAGGCCGGATAGGGTGACTCTGTGAATGAACAGCCTCCTCTTCTCCGAACCCCCGTCCACAAAAGTAGTGGCGTTGCCCTTGGCCACCAGCGTGAAGAGTTTGCCTCCCCACTCGTTGTATTCAACCACGCTCTCTGTCTCATTGAAGGTGGTCCAGGTGACCACCATGGAACCATGGACTCCTGGGAGGAGACACCCGGCTGTCAAACACTAACAGGCAAGAAGAATTGCATGTTTGCTCTATATTCCAGTTATATAACCTCGATCGGCCACCGATCTGAATGGGCCGATTTTCAGCCTGATCAGCCGATCAGTCTCACGTATTTCCGATTACGAACCGATCTTGCGCATGCACAGTAAATCATAGGCGCAGTCGCGCGCACTTTCAGACAGGCAAAAACGTCCGTAATTTGGAAATTCTTCAGCGTGAGCCAAGCGGGCGCAAAATTCGCTATCTGCAGCAAGTGTAAGGGCCAGGTACACCTTGGGGGAACCAATACAAAGACATTTAACACAACAACTTTGATTAGACATTTAAAAACACGTCACCCCAGTGAACACGTTCAGTTTGAACAAGCTAGCAAAGTGAAAGCTGCTAGCAGAGCATGTTCGAAGCCATATACAAGCCAGCAGTCCTATTTTTCGTTGGTATTTAAGCAGTGAAGAGAGCAAAAAATTACGGGGAAAATTATGGAATTCATGGCACTGGATGACCAGCCATTTTCTGTAGTTGAGGATAGAGGCTTCAGAAATCTGATAAATTACCTCAGTCGAACATATAGAATACAGAGTAGAATACCGTTACTTTTCGGACGTCGAGCTACCGGAGTTGTTTAATCTAGTGTTATGTCACACACGTTTACTTGCTGCACCTATTATTATTTTAAAGAATATATTAATGTTTTGTTGTAGTTTTGGTTTTATTTATTTGTTTTAGTTTAATTTATTTGAATTTGTAAAGTTTAATAAGAGTTTGTTATGGAAATAAAGTTTTGAAGTGAAGAAAATGTCATTTTTGTATGTATTTGCTGTTCTCAGGGCAAAAATCGGTATCGGCCGATCGCACATACCAAAAAATCGGTAATTGGGATCGGCTAAGGAAATTGCAATTGGTGCATCCCTAGTTTATGCCTCCCTCAACTTGCTCTATTTTGTAGAGTAAGTTGTCCACGAAGGGCAGCCACCCATAGCGGTGCCCAGGGAGCTGGGGGTTAAGGACCTTGCTCAAGGACCCAGCTGAGGCTGGGTTTGAACCGGTGACTTTCTGATTACAAACACATTTAGCACACTGAGCCACACACTGCCCTCACCTGGTAATAAATTACACATCCTCCAACATAAATATCATCTTACAGCACATAACAGATCAAGAACAGCTCAGCACCGGGTGTTTTTCAATATGCTTACTTCACCATACTTGTGTTCTCGTGTACCCGTTTTTACGTCATCTTCCATTGCCAAAAACCAGTTTCAATTAAGTACAAAGGACGGTATGTTGTTCTTGCCTCACCCCAAATATCAACAATGCATTGGCTGCATCCTCGCCAAAAGAGAAAAATCACATGGTTCATTGGAAGCCAGGTTAGCAAGATCGCTCTTACCACGAGCACAAGTATGATCTTTGCATTCTTGGTATTGAGAAACATCCACGGTCAGTTGCTAAGACCAAGCCTCCTCCAGACCGAAAATACAAAAGACACTAAAGCAATAATCACCATTCAAAGGTGGGCTGCACAATATCACATCGCCGTATGGGAAATATTCGCAAGTAATATTACGATATTTACAAAACAAGATGAAATTACTTGAAATATACTACAGCCAAATGAATCATATTATCTGCCAATAGAGTGTGTCAAATAAGCTGGCTGGCCGCTGTGTAAGCAGACACAAAGCAGTGCAGACAGATGCGATATGACTACTGTGCATGCGCACATCGTGATGACCATGCTGAAACGATATATTGTGCAGCCCTGATCAAAAGACAATACAAATTGTCAAAAAAACACTAAAGCAATTCTGATTATGAACATAGCAAAATTGTACCTGGATAGGAGACGTGCACCTGCTCTGGTTGGCTCCAGATGGGGGGGACGCCATGCAGTGGGGCGATCAAACAGCCGACAACTAAGAGTATACTGACAGGCAGCATCCCTGCTTCCTCCTTTGCCAGCGGCCTCCTGTGTATGACACCCAGCGTGGGCAGCCTTGTGACTTATTCTATGTGGTCTCATGACTATCACGCATTTCTTCTCCAGAAACAAACACACGCGAGTCATTTCCCTGGACTATGACCCACCTGTTCAGCCAGATATTCACAGGACAGCAACCATTCACCATTCAGAACCAGTCATGCAAGGGGAGAAGCGAGGAAGGGCACAGGATGGCAGGGAAGGTGAAGCACTACACCATTGGTTGGCGAGAGGCACCCATTATTAATACCAGCTGCTGACTGACATTGACTGTGATACGTATTCACAAAATACAAATCTATGACGCACTGAGTTGCAAAGTAATATACTTATAAATATAAAACAGCTGCATTTCTTCTCTAAAGTTGTCCACATCTCCTAGCCTGACTGTCCTTCACAGCTGGCTTTAATGTTTTTCTCTCATTTCACCTGTCATTGTGTCTATATTGCAGGTAATTACTGGCCGCAATTTAGTTTCTATCACATGCAGACAGGAGACAAAAAAAAACCTCGTCAGCAGGTTATGTAAAACCAGCAGTACACTTCCTCATATTTATGTAAACAACATGTGCTGTCACATGCCACTTTATAATGCCGGCTCAAACAGCTTTAATGTTTGGGAAGAATTAGCTTAGACCAGACAGCAAAATAATAATATTTATCTATGGTATACTTTAAGTCTATGAGGAACAACATCTTTTTTATAATCAATGGTGTACTCCCCAACATTACATTTACATTTTATTTATTAAGCAAATGCTTTTATGCAAAGCAACACACTTTTTTTGAGAACAAAGGGTCAGTCAATCCCAGGAGCATCTGGCAGTTATGGGCTTTACTCAAGGGCCCAATGGCGACGCTGCTCTGTTGATCCTGGGATTTGAATATGCAACCTTCTGATTACAGACACAGCATTCTAACCCCCCCCCCTCTACTAGGTCTAGTCGTCAAACCTTGACTATTCATCTGCCTAGGAAGCAGCGGAGCTACCAGAGATTTTGGGCCCCAAAAAAGCACATCAGACCAATCCAGACCAATTCAATTATTATTATTATTATTATTATTATTATTATTATTATTATTATTATGTCACTCAGGGGCCCTTGGGATTATCCTGACTACCCCCCCCCCCTTGATGGCACCCCTTCTTGGGAATCTGCATCTTTTATTCTAAAAGTGAATATTCCACTGTAGCTAACACTATTACTGCTCTGCATGGACTACAGCAGCACTTTTCTGCAACTGAAAACTTGTCCCTTGATCTTCCCAACTATGAATCGGTCAGAGATCACAGGATCCGACCGACTGGTTCGCTCCCTACAGACCAGGCAGAGTGCAATCAGAATCATCTCTGATGTCTGCCTTTCAACCTACCACCTTTTCCATACTCTCACCTGCTGTAGTGTCTTCAGATCTCTGCTCTCCAGAACCATATGCTTCAGTTTTTACCTGCTGCAGTCAGACCTCTTCACTCACCAAACCGAACACACCAGTGCATGCAGTGCATGCCCTTCCTATGTTTGCATGGATTTCCTCTGACAGTTGTAAGACATGTAGTTCGGTGAACTGGCATGTTTAAATTGCTCACAAGGTGTGGTTCTGTGGGTTAGGATGCTGTACCAATTATTAGAAGGTTGCCAGTTCAAATCCCGTTGTCAGCAGAATGACATTTGAGCCATACCTTCAACCCCAAATACTCCAGGGACTGACTGGCCTTGTTTCCTTAATTGCCTGTTGCTCTACATAAAAGCATCAGCACGGATGGGCCGATCCACATTTTTTCAGTTCCCATCCGATTCCGATATGAGCTCTTTTTACTTTAATATTTTAATATAATAAATTTACATAATATATTTAGACTTTATATATTAATATTTTAAGCTGGTAATTACAGATGAAAAAATGCATGCCAAAAAAATGGAGTTAGCAGTGGGTTCGATATTCGCCGGACATTCACAGATCTTCTCTGTATTTACTTGATTAAAACGTTCATAAATTTGTGTGTGTTTCTGAAATTACATGCACACCTTGATTTTTTTCAATTACTTCATCCAATAAATTGTGAAAATGCAAAACAATGCAGCTCCTGTTGTGAATTAGTGCATATTCGCTTGACTTTTGACAGTGGGAAATGGAAAAGCAAACGGGTTATTACTGAAGGCATGCAACACTTTGAAACTCCATTCCAATGTATTACATACTTACACGAAATCACAAGCACATACCGAGCCCACTAACACTCCTGAAACTATAAATAATCCTATAAGCTAACGTCCATTATTTTTGTACGCAGGTACAATATAGGGCATCCTACATTTCAGCTTATGGCCAAAGAACATGAGTAAACCTACACAAATCCTCTACTTTGGCAATTGGGAAACCTGTAGAAAATTTGTGAAATAAACTTAGATGCCTCTTATCCATTATTTTCTAAGCAGGTGAAACGTGGAACATCCTACAGCTCCAAAACCAAAGAACCCAGCAATGAAATTTCAGTTTGTAGTCAAAGGACATGAGTAAACCTACACAGATAATGTACTTTGGAACTAAGTATCGGACGTGGATCAGTGATGTATGGCCGATACTCGATTCATCAAACAGGTCTGGATCAGCGCCGATACCAATCCGTATACCGGTATTGGTATATCTCTAGCATCAGCTAAACAAATTCATGTAGTATGTGTGTGGCCTGTTACAGACCGGCATCCCTGCCTTGTGCCGTATGCTGCCTGAAATTGGCTTCATTACTGGCATACTGTATTTACTACATTTACACTCGCAGCTGTAGGTTTAATGTGAATTATTTATAAGTAACAATGGCGCAGTCCTCAAATTTTGAAAAGGTTTCAATACAGGCTATTCGTAAAGTATTCCCATCCCAGGAATGGCACATGCATTGCGCTCATATGAACACAGGAGGGCGCATTCCAAAGCAACGACCGTCGTACAGGTGATCAAGGCCGCAGAGTCCATATATTTCCCCGACCAACGACAGGGGGCGACCGAGTCCAACTGACAGTTTCATGCTAAGATCACTCCCAACATGCAGCGCTTTTCTGTTTGAATGGCGCAAGTTCCACTCTGATTCTGAATGTATTTTTTCGGTTAATGACGTTTAAATCTTTTTAATAATTATTTTAAAGTTTGTCTACTTTTTTTGTTACCGTTCGGCTAAAGTCGAATTCAGTTCCAGGCTTGACACGTTTATAATGTGACACACGAGAAGCCAACATGTAACGGTAGGTAAACTCCTCCAGGCTTTAGATGTGCCTCTCTCCCAGCGAGTGCTTCATTAAAATGCAGTCGCATATAGCCCGTAGGAAACCAAAATATTTGTGCAGTTAAGCGATCGTATAGCCAATTTTGTCAACGCGGGCAGGAGGCTAATTCTACAGAATTAGCATCGTCGTGGGTGCGATTGCTCGGCAGGCCTCGGCAGCACCTCCGCTGGCCGATAGCGCAGCTAGCCGGGTAAAACGCCCTCCGCGGCAGACCGTGTGCACTGAAAATGCGGGCAGAAACATACATGCGCTTCATACCCTATGGTTTCCGTGAGCGAAGATAGCGGAGGTCTTACCGTGGCCCTTTGGGGTGATAGTCTGGTTATGGTGGTGAACTCGAACAAACAAAGCAGACGGCCAGGGCGCAGCTTGTGACAGGGCCGCGCACGGCTGGGCTTCGCTACCGGGCGTCCCGCTGCCTGTCTCTGCTACGGGGGCAGCTCCATCCCGGCCTTCCCCCCCCCCCCCACACACGCACAACTGGTGTTTTTAAACTTTGGCAGGGATCCACATGGGTTGCGCCATACTGAATAACAGCTGTAATTTGCAGCCCTTCGGATCGCTGGTAAGCGAGCAGATTAGTATAATACTGCCGTTTATTGGGAGGCTGTTTGCCGAGAAGGAAAGGACGGGGACAAAAAAAACAACCTTTCAAAATAAGTTTATCGCTGGAACCAGACAGTCCTTTGACAGTTGGGATGTTCACAGAAAGCGGCAGGTGGATCCTCCGTCCGTGGCTGCTTGGTGTTTTAGTTAGAACTGGCGCACCGAGTATTATAGCTACGAAGTGATGTGAAGTTTATAAAACCTTAGTGATGCCTATTCTGGTTGTTTTTAGTTCGTATAACTACTCCTCTTACTGTTGTTTCGCTAAACATATGGCACGTTGCGTTAATGAAAGATGATATCGTCGGAAGCAGTCAGTCCACACAGTTCAGGATAGTTCTAGTTAATATTACCTTGTTGGCTGATGGTGCACTCCAGTAAAGTATAGTTGTTGACTGCTTATGTGCATGTAGTTTGTGGAGGAAATGCCCTTAAGTTGAAAGGAAGAACTCGTATTTCCGGGATTTTTTTATTTTTTTATTTGGCATGTGATATTGATGCAAGTGTTTGCTGAAAAACAACCGATTTCCCCCTTGCGTGTTACACTTTCTCAAGGTCCTTCCCTATTATGGCCTCTGGAGACCATGGTGTTGACAAGTTTGAGCACCGGTTTCATGAAGATGCCCAACCCTGCGAGCTCAAAAAAAGGATACGGTCTGCAAGTGGCAAGACCATGAAGGAGGCGAGTAGGGCTGCGTCGGCGCGCTGGATAACCACGAGGATTGTGGCTTGCTTCCTGGCAGTGTGTTCAGGGCAAGAGATGTCTGTGCCTCTTTGCTTTAGTGGCACAAATACAGCAGTTAATGATTTACTTGTTTTGCAAAATAATTAACTTCCCCTTGTCTAAGCAAGTGTCTGACTTTCTTTAATATTCATTTTATTTATTTGGCCATAACATCATGGTAGGTTTTACAGTGATTTTGCAGTCGCAATGGCTGTTCTGAGTCCCAACTCCTTATATGTACTCCAGTAATGTATGGTGGAAGAGGAATTTAGTGGTATTCTTTTCCTTTTAGGTGGATTATTTTAAAAAGGAGGAAATAAATAAGAAGAGGTGAGTTTTCACTAACCATCAGCAATCTGACGCTCACCTCGTGTGATTCCCACATGTGGCAAACATGAATTGATCCGTCACCAGTGTATCGACTCATTCACAAAATCCAAAAAATAAAACGCCTTGCAGAGGGGGTCCAAGAAGCCTCAGTTTTGTACAAGGGCGATTGGGTTATCTGGGCAAACCCTGAGCCTTATCTCCACTCTGCAGATCTCCAGTGGGCAGTACTGCACAAAACTCTGGCAAAGTAAAAAGAGTGGTGTCCTCCAAAAGAAAGGCACGTCAGGTGACTGTGTGCCCTGGGGGCAGACGGAAGCCATCCCCAGCTGTTGGGGGCTGTGACATGGCAAACAAGGAGAATGAGCTGGCATGTGATGAAGACCTCCATCAAGGGCTCTTCTGCAGGCAGCCCCTGAACCAACCAGAGGTCACCAAAATGGATGAACCTGGGTCCAAGTACAGTGACTACTTCACCGAGGTGGGTCTGTAGCAGCTACTTTTGGTCACATGGAATCCTTGATTATTGGTTTTTGATAAATAAAGTTGGGAATAGGAGTAATTATTACTGTTTGCCTCTTCTTCCAGAGAAGAATTGGTTTTATAGTTTTGTCGTGTTTTCTGTCACAGTCAAACCATTATAGAGATCTTTCTTTGTTTTGCTTGATTGTGTGACTTAATTTTTAATACAGCTTTCAAAGGATCATGATGCAATGACCCAAGTGCTTTTTGGAAGAAATCTCAGGCTTAACGTTGCTTTGACTCTGTGGCGAAGGAACGCAGGCGAACTAGTTGCATACCTTCTCAGGTAAAACCTAATACTTGTGATCTACAGGCTAATTTCTAAGTATTGAATTCAGATTTTAATTTTCCTTTTGTCATCTGTAGAATCCAGGACACTGGTGTGCTTGTTGACTGTTTACCTGTAATCACAAAAAGGTAAGTATTTATTTATTTGAAATGAATTGTTTGACTGCATTCTTTTTTTCTTATAACTTGTGCTTTTATTCTTTGAACAGTCTTCAAGAGGAAAAGCCAGCAATATCCGTTGGCTGTTGTGTAGACCTTCTACCTTTAGTAAAAACGCTTCTTACAAGTCAATATGAAGAGTGAGTTCTATTTTTTTATAACAACCTGGTTTTGTCCTGTTGATTAAGTATATGGCAAAACTTGTACTTTAAAATTGCATTTCAGGTACCTGGTAGTCGGTTTACATTGGGTTCAGTCCGTTCTGAGGAGGTGGTGGCCAGAACTGTCTGTGAACGGCAGGACGGCTCGCGACAGCCATTCAGACGATAAGTATGTTTGCTCGTGTGGCCTTTTACAGCTGATTGGCCGGAATTACCCATGTTTGTTGTGTGCTGTGTGTTCATGTGCTTCTTGATTAATTTCCTACTAAAATTTTCGTAGGAACATTCATGTGATGAAGCAACAGTTACGAGAATTATGGGAACATGGGTCAAAATTAATTTTTCTTCCTGGAACTACGGGTGAAGTGGCGAAGGTACGGTGCTTCCCTTTTCTTTCTCTTTCCAGAATCCTCTAGCAGCTGTGAAGCGTGTTCACACGTGTCCTTGTTCTCATTCTGTCCTCCTCTTTTGAAGGCAGTAGAGTCATACTTGTCGCAGCTGCGCTGAGGCAGAGATGTAGCACGACGGGGCTTGGACCACTCCACGCACTTGACAGCGGTTTACAAAGCTGCTTTTCAACTCCAACACTAATTCTGAGGCCGGAGCGACTGGGCCTCAGAAGCACGACACAGCAGTGGACTTGAAGGACTGAGCATCACACTGATGATGCATAATCTGTTTTTTTTAGAACTGATACGGGACAGGGGGGCTACCTGCAAACCACGACAACCTACTTCACATTGAAGTGGGCTGTTTGCTTAGGGGCACACACTGGACTCTGAGGTGCCAGAGACTCAAGCTCAATTAAAGTGCCAAGCTCTCGCTCCACCAGAGCACTGTTCTACTGTCGTGTTTTTGTAGAGATGAATGTAATTAATGTTCCTAGTCATTTTTTTTGGTCCCCCTCTCCTTTCCTGAAATCAAGAACTTGAACAGCGACAGTCTTAAATTATTAGACTTTTCATGTGCTTGTTCATAATTAAAATCTTGGACTGTAATGTATATAAGATTTTATTTTAATCGAATATTAAATAAATTTGCAATGTCCTGTTTCAGACTTTATTTTTATTACATGGCAGAGATTGACATTTAACATGTCTAGGCATGAAATCTTCACTCATTTTAAATATACGTTGAAATGAAAAATGATGTTTCTGTCTTACGATTCCATGTCAGATTATGACAACTGACCTCTAGGAAACTGCGAAAATCTATATGTAAATCATCCTCAGTTGGAAGGTGTTTTGCTTATCCTACCGCTTCCGTGCGGTTTTCGAGCAGAGAATGTGTCCGTGTCCGCGATCGCGTTTGTCGATAAAGTTTTAGTCGTAAAGCCAGCGTCATGACGTCATTACTCAGGCCGAGACGACGGTCTGTGTTAATGGTGGAGAACTCAAGATACTGGTATTTCTCATAGCTTGTGATTGAATTATCGTGGTTAAGGCGTCATTTAGACTTTTTTTTCAGGTTGGCGAGGTCCACATAAGAATGCAGCGAACAGCGTGGCCGTCGTGGCTGTTTTTCTTAGCGCAGCTGGCGCTGTCGTTGGGTTTCAGTGACTTGGAGCCTGGGCCCGGCGGTGTCGCGCCGCAGACCAGCGGGGATCGCTTCAAGATTGAGGGCCGGGCGATCGTGCATGGAGTGAAGCTCCAGGACTGGATTTCCACCGCTCGGGTTCTCGTGGAAGGGGAGGAACACGTGGGGTTTCTGAGGTAGTATTAAGAAATTGAACGTGTATCCGTCCCAGTTTGCTACATCGTTTTCTTATATATAACGGTAGTTTATGACCTGTCAGTCACCCTAACGACAAATGTCTGTACTGAGGGATTGACCGCGAATGGCAGAATGATGTTTCCTCACGGTTCCTAATGTTTTTTTCCTCTACAGGACCGACGGGAGCTTTGCTGTGAATGATGTTCCCTCGGGCTCTTATGTAGTGGAAATTGCGTCGCCAACATACAGATTCGAGCCTGTACGGGTGGACATTACATCAAAAGGGAAAATGAGGTATTCAGTTACTCATGTTATATGCAGTTTTCTTGTGTCTTTGACTGTGAGTCTTCGCGTCGTGCGTCGTTGCTTTTATTAAATGAAACGCAATTCGAGCTTAAGTAACATAGATTCCTTTTCAGTGACAGCAGCTATAATGCACCAGTCATAAGTTTTTGCATTGAATGTGTTTCTGTTGCACAGGGCTCGCTTGGTGAATTACATAAAGACTTCAGAGGTGGTGAGGCAGCCATACCCACTCCAGATGAAGTCCTCCGGGCCCCACTCGTTCTTCGTGAAGCGAGAAACCTGGGGCTGGACTGATTTTCTTATGAACCCAATGGTAAGAGACAGCAGTAGTGCTCCTCAGCATATTTGAGGACGCCTTGTGACAAACTGGTAACCTGGAAGAATTATCGTGAAAGTTCCTTTCTTTGGCATTTTTGTATTTTTTTGTAAACTATACACTGAGTTTAATGTACTATTCCTTAACTGATGTATTTTTCACCTAGGTTATGATGATGGTCCTTCCCCTGCTCATCATAGTGTTGCTGCCTAAGGTTGTCAATACCAATGACCCTGAGATGAGAAGGGTAAGTAATCTTACCTTAGCATTGTGCATCCAAACCGGGCAAGTTGTGTCCAGTGAAATCTGGCTTTTCTTTTTGTGACTTATCGTAGGGACAGATTCCCTCAACAGGAGTAGAGACTTTGGTGTGCTTTGCTGGGAGGGAAGGGTTTGTTAAATATTTGCCCTTCTCTTTGCTCTTCTAGGAGATGGAGCAGTCAATGAACATGCTGAACCCCAACCACGAGCTGCCAGACGTCTCTGAGTTCATGACCAAGCTGTTCTCCAAGGGCTCTGGCAAGTCTGGAAGTGGCAGCAAAGCAGGCAAAAGCGGTGCAGTGAAAAGGAGGTAGTGCCACGTTTCTGCCCAGGAACAGTAATGCACTGTGGCACTGTTACCATGGAAATGGGAGGTTTTAAATGAAAATAGCTATTTCTGCTCCGTTTGTCTTTTTTGGTATTAGAATATCAGAATTTCAGGACCTGCAGATTTTTTTTTTGGGAAGGGTGTGAGGCGTGAAAAATGGCAGATGTTTTTGAACAAGTTTTGAGGAGATGTGCTCAAAACTTCAGTGCATTCTGTGTCATGAAAGAACCTGATCTTCAGTTTTTTTTTGTTTTAATTTATGTATGCCTTGCGATACCATCACATCTGTCTTTTGGCTAGATTACTGGTCAGATATCCCTCTGCGATGCATGCCCATAACTTCTGGTTTAACCACTTAAAACCTGTTGCACTGCTGAATGTAAGTTAATGTTGTTGCTTTGTGTATTTCAGTAGGCATCCATTGCCACACTGTATGTATATTTTGTGTTGGTTCTGACCATGATCCAGTTTCTGCCACATTTACTTAAATGAGACATTATATATTAGAGATGTTCACTATTAGGGTGTCAGTTGCTTGAAATGGGACTGATACCCTTAAACTAAATGAATGCTTATGAAATTTTAACTTCAATAAAGTTCTTTAAATGCTAACAATATGAACTGTGTTGCTCTTATACAGTCTTACTACTTTTGTGTAATTCGGCATCAGTCAGATGGCTCTGGGTTTTTGACTTGTGTGTTTTCAGGCTCCCTGTGCCCTGTTTTTCTGATACCTTGCACTAGGTCTTGGATTTGGGTGGGATGGGCCTCTCTGCCTGAAGCAGTGCATGCTGGGGGATGCTTAGTCTTTGGTCGTATGGAGCCGACTCTTTGACATGAGTACTGAGAGAATGGGTGGGGGGAGGTGCTCGTTCAGATTTGCTGTGGACTGTGTAGTTGATTCTATGTGATGTATTGTGCATTGGAAGCGTCTTCCTAAGAATAAAATACGTCATTGTGTTTGGTAGCTTGTTCTTTGGAAATATATATGGACACTGGTCTTCTGCCTTCTGGTCAGTGGGCATGTCCTTGCAGTCTGTAAAATTATGTGATTGTTTTTAAACATGGGTTCATGTGCAGCCTTGAAGAAAGAAGGATGTGAGCCGGCTGGAACTGTGGAGCTGGGAGATGCATGATCCTGCTCAATCATATAACTGCTTTCAAGGAGGCTTAGTTCCTCTCAGTGGGAAAAAAGAAACAGTGTACTATCAGAAACCTTCCGCAATCCTTTTATTTAAACAAAACAGACAACTGCAACATGAGCTTTGTGATCTCTGCTGGCGTTCACCCAATCAGATCACTCCAAAGCGGTCTTCCGCTTTCCACACAGGTTCAGATAAGCACACACTTTAAACCTTAGCGGCTCTAAGGAGCAAAGTGGGGGCTGAAGTCCGACGGAGATGAGGAGCCAGGTGTGAACGACGCCGCGTCCGTTTGGACTCTGAGTCTCCGACTGCCAACTTGCATGGCTGTGTTTGTTCTGTGCCTCAAGGTGCAGTCAAAGTACAGCTCGAGTAAGAGTTGCCACAGCTGTCATCAGAGAGAGTCGGTGACACTCAAAGCTCGGTACAGTTGCTAACTTTATTTTTTACTTTATTGGGGATATTTTACACTATAGCATGGATTGCTGTTTGTAACATCGGAAGTACATTATGCATTACTCTCCTGTATGGTATCAGTATGTTATTTGCTATGGTCTTATGTAATGTCTAACTTAATTGCTCAGAAATGTCTTTTTAATGTTTTAGATCACAACCATCTGGATTTTGGCAAATTATTAAGGTATATATTTATATGCTGCTGCTAACATTAGCCTTCTGTACTACAGAACTGTTACTGTGTCGGTCCAGCACTAGGGGCTTGGGTTTCTGGCCTCAGCGTTGACTCGCAGGGAGATGTGGGGGAAGCTGATGATTACTGGGGTTTGGCTGAGAGCTCTCCTGCTCCCTGCGCTGTGCTTGATGGGGGCTCACTGTGAGTTTCCCCAGGCCAAGAACATCCACCTGCTCTACCACGAAGAGCTCAAACTGGTCCTCAACCCGGGTCTCCAAGGTGAGCTCCTGGCTTGCCTGAGCAAGGTTCGCTGTACAGTTGGTGTCAGTCTGGTTTCTTTGCAACTTTGTAGAACAGTGTGTCCCAACCCGATCGTCAGGGACCTACAGACAGCCCACATTTTTGCCCCCCCCCCCAGCTCCCGGTGGGGTTAGGGTTAGGCCTCGTTCCGACTATGTGTGTTGCGTTGCGCTTTTCATGAAGTCGTGTGTTCTGCGATTTGCTAGAGTATCATATATTGCATAGAAAGCAATGGATGATGTCCCCACTAATGTGCTGCATTGCAGTGCATTTTGTAAACACTCTGCTACGCATTCCCATTGATGATAATGAAAAATTGATACAAACGCATTCCAAAGTCTTTGTATGCATTTTTTACTCCCTCTTTTTCCCCACATACACTAGGGACAATTATGTACAATCATAGAAATGGCTAATACGACGCAACTTTAAAAACATATAAAGACGCACAAGAACGTGGACAAACACGAGACGAAAACACAGAAAAACGCATGCAAAAAAAATGAAAAAACAGCACAATATGTTTTTTTTTGGCTTCCCTAGTGTGAACATACCGCTACTGGGAGCTGGGTGGGAGCAAAAATGTGGACCGTCTGTGGGTCCCTGAAGGCCGGCTTGGGACACACTTTTAGAGGATAATTTCCATGGATGAGTGTTGTCTATTGCTGCGAAAATGGCTTGAAAGTTTTGAAATATTGATATATTGGCAGAGCGAGCCTGTCTTTACAAGTTACCCAGTTATAAAAGTGGTTTATCAGTGGGAGTCAATGATTATGTTCTAGATACGGACACATTTTCGTGTAAAACTGTCAAAAACTGACCAAAAGAATCGGTGAGTTTTACTTACAGCTTCTTACCAGCCTCATAACGAAAAATGACTAAAAGCTATTTGCTAACGATTTCATTAGCGTAAATGTTAACAACCAGATGTTGACACATACAAGGTGAGTGTCTGTCTTGCAGAGTTCCCAGGGGACTGCTATGACATCTGGCGGGATTCTGGGGGCCAGGCGCAGGATGGGGTGTATCTCATCCAGCCAGCAGACTCCCTCGTCGTGGTGCAGTGCGCCATGCAGGACGGGGGCTGGACCGTAGTGCAGCATATCACCGTCAACAGCACGGTTGACTTTGACCGCACCTGGGATGAGTACAAGCTGGGCTTCGGGGTCCTCACTGGAGATCACTGGCTGGGCAATGAATATCTGCACCAGCTCACCCGTCGGCCTGGCCGCTACAAGTTGGGAGTGAAGCTGGTGGACAAAGACGCGGTCACCAAGACGGGCGAGTACGACCCGGTGCTGGTGGAAGGTGAGGACGCCCAATACAGACTCCGCTTGGGGCTGTTTCAGGGCACTGCCGTGGACGCCCTCACTCAGGACACAGAGAACTATCTGCATGACAACCAGAAGTTTACCACCAAGGACCGCGACAACGACAACTATTTCCAGAACTGCGCCAAGCTGGAATTCCAGGGAGTGCCCGGAGGTGGCTGGTGGTACGATTCCTGCGCGGGTGCCAATCTCAACCGGCGGAATGTCATCTACTGGCAGAAGGACTGCAATAAGGAGCATCTCTGCAAGTATGCCTGGATGATGGTGAAGCCGTCGGCTGCCGGCAAAGGCATCAGACCTGGCAGCTGTCAGAAGGATGAGCTGTGATGAAATCCGGCATGATGAAAATCTGGGAGACGTCTGCTGTAGGGAGTATGAACTGGCCAATTAGGAGAGAGGGGGCAGGACAGTGAATGGATTCTATATGCAGCTCAATCAATATTATCGCTTAATCTTTCCTGTCATCAAGCCCAGGGTTTTAATCGAATTACTCCAGTTTTTGCAAATTTCATATTTTATGTAGGTCCATATTCCTAATACACATACATCCTTAAGAAATAGCCAACATTACAAATCATTTATTTCTTTTTTGTGGGGGGGGGGGGCAGTGAGAATATGTAAAGAGAAATGTAAATTCCTGAGATGCCCTAAAGGTGATGATACACAAGGCAAGATTTTGAGCATGTTGCCAGGCAACTGCCAACCACGTGAGACAGAGGGCAACTCATCTGCATCTGATCTGCCGATCAAAGTTTTTCAAGTAGAAAACAATTGCCCAATATCAATGGAAAAGTGTCCACGCAGCATTGCTCAAAAAGTTGCCCTGTATATCATCACTCTAACACTGTGATTACATTTTTTGCTGATATGTACAATTGAAGGGGGCTGACATATATCTTGTCTTTTGAATGTTTTAGCATAACAACCAAGTAGCCATTTTATGTCAGTCACTTTCTGAATGTTCCTGAGTAGGGATATTTATAGCCACGTTCCTGTTTCACATCATATTTTGTACAGTACCAAAGTCGGCATATATATAAAATCAAGTTTGTTATTAAAAGTAATTATAATATGTGAAACTGAGACGAGGTAACACGCTAATGATGTGAAGCCAGAAGGTACGTCTAGAATATTTTGACGTTTTGAAGGGCTGTATAGAAGAACAAAATCAGGCACACGGGTCATAAGCCAAACTTTAGAACAAAGAAACCCAGCATCGTGTGGTAATTAATACAGTTTTTTCTACTTTTAAGTATCGCTAAGGACAAAATGCTACAACAACAGATTCATTGTTAGATTGATCCAACTTACCTTCCTATAAGAATCTGGGGCGTTATTGATTCCACAGTCCTTATGATACAGTCAGAAGCAATCAAACTGCAGGTCAGACCAGTGCGCCATCAACCTATGCTCACATAGGTTTCCACATACCTGAACCAGTTTCCATTGCACATACATTCAATCGTACAGCTACTTCTAACTCGAACCACTCAATTTCCACATTAACTGGTTTGTTTATTTTTTTTAAAAATCTGAAAAATGCAACATTCTGCTGCAATTTTTACTATTACATTTTCTGGCCTCATTTTCTATCCTGAATATATTACATGTTATTCTTCAATATGCAGAAAAGAATGTACTTCACATGGTGTGCTACTGTTAGAAGAAAAAGTTGTATACAGGAGCCTATTCATGTGACAGACATTTTACAACTGCACCTGTTAAAGGCTTTCATGACAAAGAGTAAGCTCTTGATATGCAGAGTAGACACGATCAGACTGTACATATACTGTAACCATAGCAGAGTCATACATGCCAGTACAAAATGTGGGTAATAATAGCAGGAGGAAGAATCTGGTGAATGTAACACAACTGACTGAAGCTCTGTCTATCTGGGCCTCATAAAGACCTAATACAGGTGTTGGGAACATCCAGGGAAATGTTGATCTTTTTTGTCTTCTCCATGGAAAGAAACAAAATATAAATGAGAATCATTAGTATTGTAAGTAATAATATAATGTTACATCATCAAAACGTTTGATTTGTCATTGCTTGTCTATTGACAATTTTTTGACTCCTGTGTTTTTATTACTGGGTTAACTCATGGATAACTCGTATTGCAAGACAATAAGATTCAGCCTAGTTGCACTCTCAGAAAAAAGGGTAAAGATCTGCACCTTTGCTTGTCACTGGAGCTGTACCCTTGTAATTGTACCTTTTAAGGTACAGATATGGACTCTGAGGAACATCCCAAAGGTACAAACAGCATTAATGTACCATTTCAGTCCATTTCTGTATCTTAAAAGGTACAATTACCTACAGCTAAGGGTACAATTGGCAGTCCTTGAGGGTTCAGCCCCAGTGACATGCAAAGGTACAAATTTTTACCCTTTTTTCCAAGAGTGTGCAAAAATTGGCCTGTTTTATTGTGAAATAGTGAATTATGTGTGTTTATCTGAAACAAAATATTGAAAGATTAATTGCTAAAATATACTGGCCAAATAAAAATAAATGCTTTCGTTACTTGTGTGTATGAAAGCCCTGTATCAGGTTTTTGCCAATGACCGGGTTATGGCTGTACCAGTATAGCTTCTCTTCTGTCCTCTTCCTCTTCCACTGGCACAAAAGCAGCATGCGGAAGGTCTTCTGGAAGGTTTTGTTGCAGAGGGCGTAGCACATGGGGTTGACTGTGCTGTTGACGTAGCACAGCCAGTAGCCCAGATGCCAGAGAGACAGAGGGATGCACTCAGAGCAGAAGGTTGAGATCAGAACCATGATGTTGTAGGGGGTCCAGGTGAGAATGAAGGCTAGCAGGATGGCACTGAGAGTCTGTGCTGCCTTCTTCTCTTTAATGAGGACCATTCTTTTCCTCTTGGTGATCTGGTTCTTCAAGGTGGTGTCCATGGGTTTGGAGGAGGAGGCAGTGGAAGGGGCAACCATGGACTCTGCAGAAGAACATGATGATTGAGTCATTTTAGTGTCCCCGTTTTTGCATTGGCGGGGACTTCCATCTTTAGGAACAGGCTTAAATTTGTATGAAACACATTTTTTGCCTTTTTGAGAACTGCTCTTGGGTGGAGAAGGAAAATAGCTTCCCTCTTCGTAGCTGCTCAGTTGCTCATTCTCACTTGTGACAGAACTTTCTTTTGCTTCACTGGCCTGGTTTTTATAAGGTGCCTGGAAGATCCCTGGAGATCCAGGGTGCTCCTCATCTTCTGAGGATGCGTAGCTGTTAAAAGTGGTCACTTGATCAGCCCTAGACCACTCGTCATTAGGAGCCGCTGCAGACTTGGCAACATTGCTACGGTTCGAAGAAGACCAGGATGCCTGGTTCCTATCCCGGGAGGAACTTGGTGGCTGTCTGCAGTTGAAACAAGATCTGATTATTGTCTTCTGGGGTTTGGCACTGCTGGAGTCAACTGAAGAGTTGAGACCTTGAAGTTCTGCTAAGTCCTTCGTACGCTTCTCAGTTTCCTTGTAGATCCTCCAGTACAGAATGGTCATGATGGACACCGGGATGTAGAAAGCAGCAATTGCAGTTCCAAATGTGATCACTGGCTCTGAGAAGAACTGGATCTGGCACTGCTTGTCAGGTACTGTCCTTTTGCCAACAAAATACTGCCAACACAATATGGGGGGTGCCCACAAGATAAATGACACCAACCAAGCCATGCCAATCATGATTCCGGCCCGTTTGGGTGTCCTCTTAGCTCTATATGTTAGCGGTCTTGTAATGGAAAAATATCTATCAAAGCTAATAACTAGCAAGTTCATTACTGAGGCATTGCTAGCCACATAATCCAAAGCTAACCAAAGATCACATGCTAAGCTCCCCAAAGACCAGTATCCCATGAGTATGTATGAGGTATATAAATTCATAGAAAACACTCCAATTATGAGGTCTGCAAAAGCCAAGCTCAGCAAGTAGTAGTTGTTCACAGTTTTCAGTTGACTGTTGACTTTAAAGGAAATCATCACGAGAATGTTCCCAATTATCGTGATCAGACTTACAATCGCTGACACAGTTGCTATGGTTATAACTTCCCATAGGCTGTGTGTGATTGATTGGATATCAGATGCATTGGCATTGACTGTTAAATTTTGCTGTTCCTCCACCTCCATGTTTTTCGTATTGATGTGTGCTTACAGGAAATTCGTTTGGTAACAGAAGTCTGCCGGAATTCCCTTATGAAGTAGCGTGCACACCTGAGGGAGGAAAAGACATTCAGTACGTCATAAATTTATGTTAATCAAAAGGGTATATTAATTAATGCGGCTAGGGGACGCTTTCATAAATGTAATCTCTGTAGGTAGTCACCATCTGTAAAGGGACGACTGGGGATAAAGCCTACGGATCGCGGGACGAGGAAGCAGGAGAATGGGCTACGGGAGGCTGTGTATGCCAGCAGATCATCGCTCCGTTTCCATAGTTAGTATATAGTCTCTTGGCCCCTGATGGGCGTTCGCTACTCCGCTGGTAGTAGTTCATGTCTTGCTCACTATAATGATATAAATATTTGGTAATGATTTACATTAACTACACCTTCATAATGTTTTTATATAGCTTTCATAAAACGTTCAGTACACCTTCATAATGTATTCATTAAGTATTCATAAAAATTCATAAACATCATGTATGTATACCTTAACATCCTAACATCCCTTAACAGCTGTAATATACATTAATAACAAACATTATATAATAATAACAAACATTATAATTGTATAATCATATAATCCCCAGTGTATATATATATATATATATATATATATATATATATATATATAT